TGCTGGTCTTTTGCCCCCACACCGACGCTTTTCGTTCTACCGCCCCCCTGAAAAATGAAATCGCCCCCTGGGGGGCATTATTGCCCACGTTAAGAACCACTGCTTTAGAGTACCATCTAGCTGTTAACGAAATGAGAGTAAGCCGATTAAATGAATGGGACCTGTTAAGTTGACATTTAAGTTAGTTCCAATGACTCAAGACAAGGTTTACTATAGTTGGGACTAACAACTGGATCTGGCCCATTTGCCCTGTTTACATATGCCGGTATTTATACCTGTGATGATGAGCTAGCTGCCTTGTATCCTTATGCTGGGGGCAAGATCAGGCATGAGCCATATAAAGAGCAGACTTCGTGCTATGGTAAAGACCATAAAAGTGGCAACTGCATTACTGTGGTGTATATGCAATAGCCTTTCGACAGTAAAAGAATAACAAACTTAGTATCTGCAGCAAGATTCATTATAGCTAAAAATGGGGAACTAAAGCATGAATTTCAATTAAATGAATGGAATAAGGAAGCATGGAACACTGTCATTAATGATAAACTAACTTGTGAAGTTTAAAAAGCGTTTGATAAACAAAAGTATCTTTAGATATATTAGTAGAGTTTTGACTTCTATGTTAAAAAAAAGAGAAATTTTCGGAAATAAAGTTTATCCCTGTTTTTTTCCAGAAAAAAATAGGAATTTTTACATCTCTATGTACTATCAAAATAATTAATGCAGTTTTGAAAGGGGGCATCATAATATAAATGTAACATGTCTTCAAATAGTCCCAATGGAGGGGGGAGCACTTTGTGTATGCGTATATATGACCTTCTTTAAAGCAAAGCAAAACGTTCTGCTTATATATTGCCCACACAGGCGAGGCACGCTTGTGCGCATGCACAAAGGGGCGAGCTCACTGGTGGCCGGTGTCCCCATGTGTGTGGTTGGCGGGCCGTGTGTGCGAGTGGGGTGGGTGGGTGGAGTGTGTGTGGGGGGGAAGATATGTCTCCGTCACCCAGTCCTGCCATGAGACCAACCCCTTATTGCCCATTTAATCTTCCACAGGGACCAGGATGGAAAGCAAAGGCAATGCGCATGCACAAAGGGGCGAGCTCACTGGTGGCCGGTGTCCCCATGTGTGTGGTTGGCGGGCCGTGTGTGCGAGTGGGGTGGGTGGGTGGAGTGTGTGTGGGGGGGAAGATATGTCTCCGTCACCCAGTCCTGCCATGAGACCAACCCCTTATTGCCCATTTAATCTTCCACAGGGACCAGGATGGAAAGCAAAGGCAATTGACTGTGGAGTGTGTGTGTGTGTGTGTGTGTGAAGATATGTCTCCGTCGCCCAGTCCTGCCCTGAGACCAACCCCTTATTGCCCATCTAATCTTCCACAGGGACCAGATGGAAAGCAAAGGCAACTGACTGTGGTAATATGTACACAACAAAGACTTACTTACCAATCTGTAGCAATACAGGTGTGACCAAAGCTGTCTCCATGGCATAACAAAATTCTCTGCCAAACATGATAGCACCATGCATCACCCAGAGACGTACAGGTATCCGGTCTATAGATCCTTCACTTATAGTCTCTTCTTTACTCTCATTCTCATTTTCCGGTTTTTGGAGCTGTACCACAGGTAGCTCTTGAACTTGCATAGATTCCGAATCAGCATTCTGGGGAGCCATTTTCATTACCATAAAAATATATATATTTATATTTATTATTATTATATATCTATAAATAACACTATCATCTCTAACGATAAGTTACGATGTCTTCTCTTTCTGATGGCGTTGTGTTCGTTGTGCAAGCAGTATTTGTAATTCCCCTCGTTACGAACAGGTTTCGTCATCAATTTCTTGTGCAGGTGTTGAAACATTCAGAAGAAAAAGCTTTTTGGTAGGAAATTGGAACTCAACATATGGCTTGCTGGCTTGCTTTTTTTTTGTTTACTGTGAATTAAAGTTAAAAATCCATAATTGCCATTCAGTTAATACCAGTTTCATAATTATCATTGAAGAGTTGCTGAAGTTGTTTTTCTTGCTACACAAAGTTGGAAAGGTGACACAAAGAGCTGCTTCACTGGTAATCCCCATCGAGTGGCTGATTAATCTGGAAACAAAGAGAAGCAGTAAGTCACAGATCACCAGGTTGGTTTGAGATCCCCCCACCTTTTCCACTCTCTTCAATTCATTGATGGAAGGCTCGCCTCCAGAAGAGGCTCAGGTCACCCAATCTAAATTATTTTTAATAGCATGTAACTCATCAGCTGCATTAAATTTACATTTAAAAGAAAATTTCAAGAAAAAAAATGGTTTTGAGAGATTTGGAACAAAAGAAACAGTTTTTGTAGGTACCACCAAACTAAGTTTAACAAAAGCTAATATCTGCTGGGAAATGAATGAGCTAGAGGTGAAAGGCATAGACAGAGAAGCTAATGCGCTGCGACCCATGTTTATTCATAGATTCGATCATATGAGTTAGTTACCAGTGTTAAAAGACTTTTGTTACTATTATTTTAATGTATATAATGGAATTGGTTACGTATTTATTTTTATCACCCCTGTATTGCACACTTTATGTTATATAAAGTACTTTATAATGACCTGTGTATGTCACGACAAACACATGTCCGAGAAATGAAAGTGGGCGCAACGCTTGCCACATGCCCACTAAATGACTGGAGGCAAGCATCTCTTCACACTACAGGGTTACCACCGTAAGTAGCATTAAAGCATCAGTGAATCCATGTGGTCCATGTTAAGTAGTTTAATATAATTTCATACCAACATAGCCTACAAGGCTGTTTCCATGGTTGTTTCTGACCTAGGGACTGCCCAGATCAAGATATGTGACTATGTGCAGGGAATATATGCCCATCTAGAAAGCTCAACGGCACCTTCTCTATCGCATAGTCAACCTAGTCAACAATGAGGAATAATGGGAGTGGAACTTCAACCCCATCCAGAGATTCCACCTCTTCCCTGTTTTGGCCACTGGGAAATGGGTTGAGACAGATGAAACCAACAGTGATATGAAAGTTCAGTTCTCTTACTCAGGCAGTGCTCAGTTACAGTCCATAACACAACACTAGCTGTCTTCAACCTATGTAAAGGACAGGCTGTCCTTTACACCTATAATGCTCACCAAAAGGCAGTGATACAAATGGAATTGATTGAATCAAGGGTGCTTCTCAGAGCTGAAATTCACTTATTAGTATGATTTTAAAGGAAACTAAATGGCCCCTTCAATTTAATAAAGCCCTGATTTTAAAAGATGAGAAGACTGTTTTAAAGTGGCCAGTTCAAAATAGCTCATGAATCTCACGTGCCTTAATTAACATGCCATCTATGGGGAGCTAGATTCTATACAGGTGTGGGGCTGAAGCAAGACAGACTGGGAGCCGCACGTGCCTTAATTAACATGCCATCTATGGTGAGCTATACTGGTGTGGGGCTGAAGCAAGACAGATTGGGAGCCAATTTCATCTTTCAATTTACTGTTCCCACCCCACTCCCCTTACTTTGTGAAGGCAAATATCAGAAATTCAGTATGTGGAATGTTAAATGTATACATTGTGGTTCCGAACTTTGGGTAACCCAGGTGGCCTTGGCCTGAAACTCCCATAAATCCTGGACAAGCACAGTTGGTGGTGAAGGCTTCTGGGAAGTGCAGTCCAAGAACAGCTGAGGACCCAAGGCTGGGAACCACTGCACAACAGAGATCAAGTTTTTTGTTTATCTTGACAGATTCCACAATAGTAAATTCAACATTATAAAATAAGGTGCAATCTTGAGTCCAAAACATGTGCAAGCAGACTTCCTTGTTGTTGATTTTCTTTGCTGTTTAAGTTCAGCATCAGCCTCCTCGAAACCAAGATATCAGCAAGGCAAATGAAACACACAGTTGCATAATGATGGCTGGAATTGCTTAGAAGGTGGGAGAGAGGATACTGAATTGGGAAGCAACGATAATACACAATGAAGGCGGCACAGCTGTACGATAACTGTTCAGGCAGGTCATCAATACTGAATGAACTGCTAATGTGAGTGCTATATTAAGGCCACAGAACTCTCACACACTTTCAGATGGAAATCTCCTTGTACAGAGGCAAGTTGCAGAGGTGACATCGCCTTCGTTGAAATATGACCATCATTTCTCACGCATGCAAAATACTTAATTCTTTGTCCTTTGAGTATGGATCTTGTCTAAGAGTTGCCATGTTTCCAAGCGCCAGCCACTCTGACCCAGTTTTCAACAGAAATTACACTGTGGGATTCATCTCTTGAAATTAGGAATCTTCTCCTTGAACCAAACAATTATGCCAATTAAGAAATGATGCATCTCACATTGTAAGATTTTACATCTCATGCACTGTTTCTCTTTTTGCAGGCAAACTAGCAGCTAGTGTTGTATTTCTAATCCAATACTTTAGCTTATTTTAACCCACTTGGCACAGAAGACCTTGTCCTTATTATGCACGGGCAGCCTCCTGGAGATAACTTTAGGGACAGCCAAGATTGCATACCTAGCAAGGTCAAGATGTTTCTCCTGGAACAGAAGACCCCCAGATCACATGAACTGACTTCTACAATTTCCTCAGGCTTGATGAGGATGATAGGGAAGGCTGAGGTTTGGGAAACAAAACTCATGAAACTGCATGGAAATAATCTTGGAACTGCAGAGCTAGAAGGGACCCTATAGATCACCAGGTCCACACCCTGTCAAGGAGGTACTGTGGGAAACTGAACTGTCAACCTGTCTCCAAGACAGTGTCTCCCTTTATCAGCCAGCTCGGGTGTTAAGATCATAAGGAGAAGCCTTTCTCTTGGTCCCATCACCTTCACAGATACGTTTAGTGGGGACACAGGAGGGGGCCTTCTTTGTCGCTGCTCCCAGACTTTGGAACTCCCTCCCAAAGGAGGTCAGACTGGCCCCATCTTTGCTGTTCTTCTGATAACAAGCAAAGACCTTTCTCTTCAGGCAAATCTTTCCTCAATGACTGCCTACATGAGTGACTGGCCACATGGCCGGTTACATGACTAACCTTTAGATCAGGGGTGTCCAACCTTTCACCTTCCCTGGGCCACATTAGAAGATGAAAATTTGGTTTGGGCTGCACATAAATTTGGTTTGGGCCGCATGGGGAGGCAGCCCTAGCCGTTCTCCGCAGCCCCGCTCCAAGGGTCCACTTATTGACGGGGATGGCGCAATGCAGTCACGCAGCCCCCCTCTCCCCTCCCCTCCCGCTCCTTTGTTCCTTCCTTCTCTCCCCTCCTACCATTATGACGTGCCCCGGTCGCATTCCGGCCGCAAGTGCCGGCAGTGTAACTTGAACCTTTGGAATTTCTTAAAAAATAAAATATTGCACTGGGCCACATTACGAGCTGACCTGGGCCGCATGCAGCCCACGGGCTGCGGGTTGGACAAGCCTGTTTTAGATGGATTGTTATGCATTACTTCTCCGACTGGGTCTTCAGTGCTACTTGTGTTTACTATCTCTCAGAGGGTTATTCCTTAGCATTTGAATATTTATTGCTTTTGCTTTAATATTGTCTTTTAATTATCTAAGCTGCCTCTTTATACTCATTGTTCTTAACTTTAAATATTGTCTTTTAATGGGGCAAACCATCATTGTATACTGGTTGCTTTCAGCTTTAAATACTGTATTGCCTTTCAATGGTGTAAGCCACCTTGGGTCCTTTTCAATGGGAAATAAGGGGTAAAAATGATTTAAATAAATAGTAGATTAGCCTCTGGCTCCACAACCAGATGGCTAAGCCACTGAGCTCTCCAGCAGCTCATAGGTGCATTTCTTTGGAACCTAATCCACATTGTATCAAGTTATCTTTTGAAATGCACTGTAAGGACACTACTCTCTCTGATAAAACCATACCAATATCACTAGATTAAGAGGATATGCACATCTACAGATCCTAACATTGTTCCTTAATAGTCATTATCCTTATTGCAGGTATGGTTACAACTAATTATTTGGAAAAAAAGAGGAAAACATCTCCATTAAAGCTAATAGCGAAAACCAGGATATCAATTTTTCCCCCAATTTTTGGAGCAGAACTGCCATTGCAGAAACTGGAGGGTGAGAAAAATGCATCACCTTTAATGAAACAAGAGATACAAAAAGCTGCAAAGGACAGAACCAATTTATACCACCTTAGTTTTTAAAACTGCTAACAGACAAAATATGTGCCCAATGAAAATAAATTCACCAAACTTCTAAACTTCAAGAATACATGAATATTGCAATTTCGCCCAACACCTATCCAAATCTCAGGGGACTGACGCAAGGCCACTTAGAAAAATTCCAATGTTTTTCTTCCCTAGCAATAGTGTTGCACAACACCATTGTGTTGCACAACACCAGGAAATGCTTTAAAGCAAGAAGACAGTCAGTTCAGTTCCACTGTGGCTAAGGGCTGTTCAGCCACTACAAGAAATCAGGGCTAGATCTTATCAACAGCTATCAGGCATGAAGTTGATAAGGAATCTCCAAGTTCAGCAGCAGTCTACCAATGACACCACTTTGTCAAGGGTGGTGAGAGAAGGGCAGGAGGTGTTTATTGTGCTCATACTCTGGCTTGTCAACTTTCTGGAAGCATCCAGCTGGATACTAGAAGCATTTAGTTGTACTGTGAGAAGCAGGATGCTGGACTTTTGTCTAATCCTTGAGAAACTTTCTGCAGAGAAGTCCATCAGCTTACAATTGACTCCAGCAAAGAACCAAGTGAACCAAACTATAAAGCCTGTGCAACTGAAACTCGGTCTGGTTGGCCCTTGTCCAAGTGGGTCTCCGCTTTGAGAGGCTCTGGGTACCAGAAAACATTGATTACTAGAGGATGAAGGGCTTGCCTAAATGGCCAGCTTTCAGAAACAGAGAAAGACACAGATGAAAGATGGTTGATGACACAAAGCGGTACCTGTTATTTTCTACATCCATGCAGTTGCAACTCATGAACAAAGCCTGGAAAATATTCTTAATTGCAAGCCTCAGAACCCTCCAGCCACCCAGGGCCATGATGGTGGTGGTTGGGGGATTCTGAGAGTGGTAGTCGAAAATTCTGATTGCCGGAAGAAATATCAAGAACCTCAGATATGCAGATGATATCACTCTGATGGCAGAAAGTGAGGAGGAACTAAAGAACCTCTTAATGAGGGTGAAAGAGGAGAGTGCCAAAAATGGTCTGAAGCTCAACGTCAAAAAAACTAAGATAATGGCCACTGGTCCCATCACCTCCTGGGAAACAGAAGGGGAAGACATGGAGTCAGCGACAGATTTTACTTTCTTGGGCTCCATGATCACTGCAGATGGTGACAGCAGCACGAAATTAAAAGACGACTGTTTCTTGGGAGGAAAGCAACCTCGACAGCATCTTAAAAAGCAGAGACATCACCTAGC